AAGAGATTCCCCCCGAAACGGGGTGCAGTCGACGACGAACTGGGCGGGTATCGAGGGTTGGGGTATACGGAATGCAAGACACGCGTGCAAGTAAGAGCGAACAGTCTTAAACTGATCGTTGTTGGTGTTGTTGTCGCTGCTGCTGCTGCTGCTGCTGCTGTTGAACATTATTTATTCTAAAAAATAATTATTGTTGGGCCCCCTGGTGCGCGCCCCCCCTGCGCCGCCTAGGCCGCAGCTACATTTTCATCATTTTCGTGAGGAAGCCTCAGGTAAAACGATGTGATCCAGATCCGGTTGTTTTGTTGTAATCCGTTTTCCCTTGCAAAAAACACTATAAAATGACATTTCTTGTTCTAATATAATCAAATTTCAAGAATCCCTTGCAAAAAATAAGGTAAAGTGGACATTCGCGCGCGCAAGACGAAATCCTTCCAAAAGCTTAGTGTTCGGAGCGATTTTAACATAAAAACATCAAAAAACCAATGGTTTTTCAACAAAAAAATGTCAAAATCTCATCCCGCGCGCTCTTGCGGATTCGTAGGAAACCCAACACTTTTTAAACATTTCTGTCAAACGGGCTTTTGCGAGCAACTTTTTCGAACTTCTGCGACAACGGTTGCGCACCTGCCAGGGCCATCATCCCTGTCAAATAATACCATGCGGGACACATTCGTTTTTTCTTCGCGCGCGCACGCCGAAATCTCCAAAAACCATTGGGCTTCTTAAGAATTTTAGCACCGCGCATCATAAAATCACACGAATCGCACCGTAGGTCCTCGAAAAACACCTGCACGACTTTTCAAAATTTCCACCCGCGCGCGCTGTCCGAATCCTAAAAAAACCAATGGTTTTCCAACATTTATGTTACATGAGCTCGCGCGAGCTACTTTCGCACGCTCTTGCAACGGGGTTCGCGCGCCTGCCAGGGGCCATAATCCCTTGCGGTTGCGCCATAGGTTGCGCCCTCGGCCGCCGAGAATAAAACGCCCCCCTATTGGTTGCGCCATAGGTTGCGCCCTCGGCCGCCGAGAATAAAACGTCCCCCTACTGGTTGCGCCATAGGTTGCCCCAGGAGGCCTTCAAGAGGCCCCAAGAGCCCGCCGTGAGGACCCAATAAGCCCCCAAGAGGCCCCAAGATGCTTCCAAGAAGCCCCCCAAAGCCCCTCAAGAGGACCCCAAGCGGCGCCAGGAGGCTTCCCCCCTTCCCCAAGAGGACCCCAAGCGGCCCCAGGAAGCCTCCGACTGATCACTGTCACATCCGTAGCCATCTCGGATCAAGGTATCGCCTGTGTTCTTGGATGGGTCATGGCTTTGTCGGCGAAAGCCCTTGACGACCAGTATGGCCCAGAGCTGTCGCGGCCTCCCTTGGCCGACTGCGAGAGCCCGTATTATTTGCATCAGGCGCTCGTTGCAAAGGGTATCCAGGTCAGTCACCAGGCGTGCAAGACTTGGTGGGGCAAATATCGGGTTGTGCCTGGCAAGGTTAGTATTTCTAGCGCCCAGGAGCTGGAGGAGCAGCACGGTTCTGCCATCCGCCACCTGGGCATCGAGTATAATACACCTTTCAAATTATGCGGGGCGCTCCGACAGTTGGATCCACCACTGTATGTGACAGATCAGGTCGCAAAGATGTGGCTACTGCAGTATTCTTCCAAAGAGACGCTTGTCAAAGTGCAGAACGCTGGCCATCTGGAGACCTGGTATGGAGAACGTATTCGCAAAGACATGCCCGAGGGGACTACTGACGGGGCCGTGTTGAAGCAGTGGCTCCTGGGACATTTATCTGTATCTGCTGACGCCAGGGTATGCCAGAAGTGGCTCAGCACGGAGTGGGGCGCCAAGGGAGCATTGAATACTGCCCAAGCTGTGGAGGAATGTATAGGCCAGCGTCTTCGACTCAATCAGTATCGGGAGAGCTTCGCCGATGAGGCCGCCGCGGAGGTCCTCTCGCAGCTTCTCTCGGAGAGCGACCCTCCCGTCGCTGTCAGCGGTATGGTTTTGAGGCAATGGTACGTGAAGTATCACCCTGACTCTGGACCTTTGCAGTATGACACGGCTGAAAAGCTCGACGCGGCACTTGGTGACCACATGCGCGCGGTATATCCAGGGCTGAAGTACCACACCTTGCATACCGTGTTGCGTATGCGACGGAACATGTTCCCCAATGGCGCCCCACGGACGCACGGGCGATGTGTCCGCGAGGAGGCGTATCGGCACCATGCTGGGACACTTGGCCCCTGATGTATGGGTGCCAGGAGCGCAGCTTGCAGTATTGCGCCCGATGCGTGCCATTAGGGACAGGCGCATGCCAGAAGACGATGAGCACACAGACTCGTCTCTTTAGTATGCTTCCAGAGCACGTATGCGTCCGCCTCGCCTTGTCCTGCTGCTCCTCCTCCTCCTCCTCCTCCTCCGGCGGGGCACCCATGGGGACAACCATCGGGACCACCATCGGAACAACCATCGCGGCAACCATGGGGACAACCATCGGGACAAC